GCGATTCCTGTTAAAAGTAGACTGAGGAAAAAAATTTAATTTGCCAAATAAATGAAAATGAAAATTTTTACACCACCAGTAACTCTGGCAATCACTGCATAAATACTCCCATAAGATGTACTAATGTCAAATATATTTTTTTGTAGCTAGTAGATATTCTTGGTAAAAGAAACGTTTTTTCTCAGGGTATATAAAAAATACTGGAAAATATTGGCACCGCTTTGAGACTTAGTGAGTCATTAAATAATGATAAAAGCCAAAGCACTTTCTATTTTTTCATGTGAATCCCCTGGTAAGTATGCCAGAGACATGAAAAAAACTTGAATTTCGGTGAAAAGGGTGGGCCACTCTTAAACGGATAGATCGTAGACTTGGGTAATTTAGACATTATCCCTTACCGCAATCGCGCTCATCGCTGTAGTCATCACAATCGGGTATAGAATCGCATTTAAGACTCAACGGTATGCATTTACCATCGCCACATCGCATCTCGTAACTGGGATTACATTCCACAGGTCTCTCTGTTACCCAACTGCTACCATCTACTTGCACATACATCATAACTCAATTTTTACATCACAGTAACCATCACACTGAATAATAAACATTATTTTGGCATTCAACAAGCCCTAGTAAGCATAACAGTGCGTTGAGAATCATACTATTTTTTATATTGTCCATTGTCCAATTTTCAATGAGCATAATATAAAAAAACTGGTATTTTAACATAAATAAATGGTAATCAATTCCTTGCAGTGCATTCATTGCAGGAATTGACTGATATAATCATGAAATAAAAATCATATAAAATTTTTGTGCTTTGGAATTTTCCCTGTTATTGGATAGTTGATGAATTAATTGAATTTTGGGGTAAGAATTCAGTGGATTATCCAGATGTTTATTCCATTGATCTGACTTAGGGGAAGATAATTGGAAAATGGACAAACAATAGTAGTTTATATTAGCCGAAAATAATGATTGTAATAAATGGAATGCAAAACAGCAATTAGCGTACTGGTATGCGAGCCGCTGTCAACGGTATTATTTTTGGCTCCTTTGTGTCTGCAGTTGATCTCGTCGCTTCTGTCAGGACAGTCTGAATGACCATCACACCTGTAGACCTCTTCAATGCATTTGCCCCCAGTGGCACATTTGAATTGTGTGGGCGTACAGGCCCGGTCTGAGTAGCAGCAATCATTATTTCAATATGCGACAAAACTAAATTATCACTATACATAATTCAACATAAGCATTGAAAGCATTTCGATGTCAACGACGACATTAAAACAATAAAAAATTGATGACGGAGTGGTCATTGATTTGTTAGAAATTCATTTGTAATTGAAGAAATTATTGTTCCGAACAGATAAGTTATATTACAGTATATTTTCCCACGATGGCTTTAACATGGAAATGACATGGAAAATCGAATTTCTAAGCGATGGATGTAATTAAAATAGTTATTAATCCATAAATTAACCTGAAGATGTGAGATCATACCTGACACTGTTAGAAAACTACACTTGGAATTTTGAGTGAAAACAATCATTATTTTTAACAATTTCTTGAATATTCTGGTAATTATCTATTTTCAGGTTGAAGTAATGATTTGAAAAATGAATAAATTAGTAATTTTAAATTGAAATGATTAATTTATGAATGAAAAATAAAAATTTTAAATCTATTAAAAATTCAATTGTATTTGATGCTGAATTTTCATGATGAGCATGAAAACTCAAACTTTCATTGAAAAATCAATAATTATTTAATATGACAACGCTAATTTTCCAGAATGTTTAGGATGAACGAGATATTTACTGGCCGTTTTTAATTAGAATTTAATTCAAACCCATAATTGAAAATTCAAATGACTTTGAGATTGAAATTTCAAAAAAAATTAACAATGTCATTTACATCTTAATTTGCATCTCAAAAACATGTAAACCGAGGAATAGGGTCGGAATTCATATAATTTCGTATGACAAAAGCCAAAGATAAAACTAACAATAAACATACGTAAAAAATAGTCTTTCATCATAACTAATAATTACAACTGATGACAGTAATTGAAGATTGCAATAAAAGATTTAACTATTCAACGGAAAAACATTCAAGGCGTTTCGTTCTCGGAGAAACTGTAATTTTAATTGTAATTGCGTTTGGAATGGATTTTCTTATTTAACTTTGAAACAGTCTGAATGACCGATTATTTAGCAAGAATTACGTGGCAATTGAACCGAGGGAACTTGGAGCCATTTGTAAAACGTTTAATCGATAAAAGAAGTGAAACGTAAAAAGTTCACGGAGTTGGTACGTCAATGAAACTGTGTGGCATTCCGAAAGTAATAAATTATTACAGTCAATGCTCATTGAAAATTAAAGATGACGAACCATCAGTTGAAACAAACAATCAAAACAAATTATTATCACCTGGATAAATTTAGATCGTGTATGAAGAATAATGCAATGAAATTTACATCAGAGTGCTATCTTAATTTTTAATAATGTGAATCTGAATTCAATTCCAATTGAAAACGTTCGCGGAACTCCTCATTCATAAAGAAACGAATAAAAAATGAATGAATGAATGAACGAAGAATTGGAGAAAACTCTTTCCATGTTAAAAGGTCATGGATTTTTCAATAATATTTATAATTTTAGATAATTTTCATAAGTTATTCAATAAATCTGATAGATTAATGACGAATCTATCAGAAATATCTCGTCACTGATTCCTTGTCAAAAATTTCTACTGCAATTATTCTAAATTGTAAGTAAAATGATGGTGAAATGTGATGTACACTGAGAAAAAACAAGTGTCGATTAAATGAGATACGCTTGATTGAACTTTGCAATGAACTTGTTGTCGTTAGCAACCAACCCGATTACTGAATCTTTTAACAAAATTACC